ACGCGCGAGACGGAGGAGCGCAGCCGAGGCTCCCCCAGCTGCGGCACGCTTGCTGGAGCGCCGACCGCGGGGGTGGCGCTCGGCGACAGCAGGAAGTCGGCGTCTTCGCTGTCAATTCTCGTGGCCTCCGCCGCGCTCAGCAGCGGCGTAGACGCGCGAGTGTCGACCGAGTACTGTCGCACTGAAGGTGCAGGCACCGCTATGCTAGCACCGCCAAAGGTCACGACCGACGGCGGAGCAGCCGCGCTGCTGCTGAGCACTGGCGAGCAGCAAGCGATGGCACCGCCGGCAGACACAGGGGGAGCGCCGTCGGAGCCGGGCCGCAATCGTTTGCTCCAATCCATGGTAGCTGTCCGGCGACCAACAGCTCGGCGGTCGTCCTTCGCGCGCGAGGTGTACTATGATGTCGCTACTTGAGTAAAAGAATTTTATCGCGGGAGATTAAAGACTGCACTCCAAGTGCTCCAAGTGCGACAAGTATTGGGAGACTGCCGCCCCTGCCATCAGTGTGCCTGTGGTAGAGAGAGACTGCCAGTGAGAAGCTGGAGGCAGGTCGCTAGACTGAGATGAGACTAACTACCGACCGCCACCCCCCAGTGGAGTTGGGAGTCCACCGAGCACCGCGCTGCGAGCCTGTCGTGTTCTTTGTCAGGAGCAGAACCCCCTGTGTTCCTGATCGTCCTTCCAAAATCCTGCTCGTGCAGGTGGGGACCCTGTCCTCGTCCCATCCCTCGTTGGTCTTGGAGCACTTGGAGTGCAGTCATCAACCTCACATCCAGGGCCGGGGAGCTGAGAAGCGCACCCAGCGGGCCGGATGATCGGGATCGGGTTGCGGGCAAGAGAGCCCTAGCCCTGGGGGGACGGGTGCGCGTTCGCAGGGCCATAACACGGGTCTCCGAGGGTTAGTTCTGCGCTCCGGGTTTCCCCCACAGCGGCAGAATTTTTGCCTCGCGCTGTGGGTCCCCCTAGCTGCGGAACGCCCCCTCTACTCGGAGCTAAAGAATACTCTCCGAGGGTTGGACCCGCGTACCAGGTTTCCCCTTAACTGCAAGGACGCCCCCTCTACTCGGACTAAAGAATACTCTCCGAGGGTTGGACCCGCGTACCAGGTTTCCCCTTAACTGCAAGGACGCCCCCTCTACTCGGAGCTAGTGATACGGGAATACGTACCGCCCCCCCCCCCCCCCCCGCAATACCTTACTTGAAAT